CTCACATGTCCAAACCACCTAAGCCTCGCTTTCCGCATCTTGTCCTTAAGAGGGACCACATCCACCTTATCGCAAATAATTTTATTCCTAATCATATCTAATCTGGTATGCCCGCACATCCATCTCAACATCATCATCTATGCTACCTTCGTCTTCTGGAAAATAGGCGATCTTCACAGGCCAACACTCAGCCCCATACAACATAGTCAGGTTGAGCACCATTCTGTAGAACTTACCTTTAAGTTTGGTGGGCATCTTCTTGTCACACAAAACACCAGAAGCGAGTCTCTATTTCATCCATCCTACCCCAATATGATGTGTTACATCTTTATCAATCTCCCCATCTCCCTGAATAATAGACCCAAGGTACTTAAAACTTCCTATCCAAGGAATGATTTGTGAGTCCAGACTCACCTCCCTTTCCCTTCCTCACCACTGAACTTACACTCAAGTATTCTGTCCGAATCCTGCGCAGCTTGAAACCTTTATACTCCAGGGTCTGCCTCCGTACCTCTAACCTCGCGTACACACCACCTCACGTCTCATCAATCAATACTATATTATCTGTAAATAACATGCACCACGGCACCTCCCCTTGGATGTGGTGTGTCAGAACGTCCATCGCCAGGGCAAACAAAAAAGGGCTGAGTGTCGATCCCTGATACAACCCCATCATGACCGAAAAATGGTCTGAGTCCCCTCACACCGTTCTCACTTGAGTCTTTTCTCAATCATACATGTTCTTAATCACCCTAATGTAGGCAACATGTATACCTCTACCCTCTAAACATCTCCACAAAATCTCCCTCGGGACTTTATCGTACGCCTTTTTTAAGTCGATGAACACCATATGCAAGTCCCTCTTCCTTTCCCTATATTGCTCACATCAAACTTCCAACAAGGTGAATAGCCTTTGCAGTCAGGCGTCCCGGCATAAACCCGAATTAGCTCTCGGAAATAGACATACTCCTCCTCACCCTTAGCTCCACCACACTCTCCCAGACTTTCATAGTATGGCTAAGCAGCTTGATACCCCGATAGTTATTGCAATTTTGGATATTACCCTTGTTTTTGTATAAAGGAACTATCGTGCTCCACCTCCATTCCCTAGGCATCTTCTTCATTCTAAAAATAATATTAAATAACCTAGTGAGCCACTCCAAGCCCATCTTGCCTGCACTCTTCCAAAATTCTACCGAAATTTCATTCGGCCTGGTCGCTTTTCCCCTGCTTATCTTACGTATAGCCCCCTTAACTTCCTCAACTCTAATCTGCCTAGAATACCCAAAGTCGCAACGACTCCCGGAGAGTTCCAAATCACCCAACACACTTGAATACATGGAATAAATTAGAATCCATCCTCTCTTTCTCTCTATATCTCTTGTTTTTCTTTGTTTTATATTGTTATTTTGAGTTTAATTTTTTAACACATTATCAGCACGAGTCTCTACCTAATTGAGATATCTATTTTAATTGGATATTATCTCCTTCCTAAAAGAGTAAGTCAATGTCTTTCTAATCTAGATGTGAATGGTTTCTCCTTTGGAAGAATAATGAGATGACTTGCTAGATATTTTTAATTCTTTTTAGTAATGTTCAAAATTACTAGTCAGATGCATGTGTTATCTGGTTCCCATGGCATTTTATTTGCACGAAATAGTATGTGATGATTACAATGGTCCTTACTGTTTTTCATATGTATGAACCAATAATTTAAAAAGTTATTTACTTAATCTACTACTAGGTGTAGTGTGCATTAACTAATACTACTTAGGCAAAGTATTATCATGAAGGTTTATGTCTAGCTGGTCTATTGGGACATCTTTTGTGTAAATACAGAATATGTTGGTAATAATGATTAAGCTTGCTTGCTACTGGGATAGAATATATCTCATTACACCTTTAGATAATATTTTTTTATCATTTTTAATTCACTTATTTTCTATGATAGTGTTTATTATGTAGAATTTACCAAAGTTGAATTTATGGCTATGTAAAATTATATTTCATTTCCTGAAATGAATAAGGATAAAACGGTGGGTTCAATTCCAATGCACCATGAGGATAAGATTTCAGGTTTTGAGTCCTGATGCACCATAATGATAAAAGTTGTGTTCAAGTCCCAATTAATTATAGCCTAATACGTGCCTTTATATGGATAAAACATTGGGTTTGAGTCCCAATACACCATATTGATGATATAATAATGACTAAGAAAAAAAATTATTTTTATGAAAAAGCATGAAGCTTGTCCCACTTGATTTGCTCCATTCTTGAAGTGAATGTGTAGGTACCGGTGCATAATAAGTCAAAATGATGACAAGTGGTTGACCAATGAATGTGGGCATGCCAAAAACCAAAATAATAATAGTCATCATTATGGTAATTGTAAAAAGGAGAATAATAAGGGTTCTCAAAATTCCTTCAAAATGTGAAGGTAATGTTTACCATCAAATTGGTATGAAAAAATAATAAAGCACGTCGTGATGATTATGCTCCATTCATTGAAGAGAATGTGACTTTTGATGAGCATTGATAATGCAGACCCATTCCTGAAAGTGGATGTGGCAATATGTGATAAAAGTAATGAATAAAAACGTGCAATGCATGATCGGATGAATACCACACAACTCATCTCTAGGGAGGTTTGAGTAACATAAAGAGAATGAATTTTATTGTGTGGCTACATGAATATGTCATTGGTTGCGTAGTTGTGGTACCTCAAAAATATTTCTCCAAGCCTTATAAAAAGTTATTAAATGCAAAACTAAAGCAAGAAATGATTTTGCTTATGATGATTTTGACCATGACAATTATTATGATGTGATTTTCTCCGTGAAGAATATATTCACCATATGAATAGTGTGACAAAAGATCTTGTAGTATAAAATCAATTAAGAGCTCCGGAAGAGCTAATTTTTTACTACCCGGATGTGTGAAACTGTTCATGACATTAATATTGTTGTAAGTATCAAAAGAAACTTTTTGAGTTTCAAATATATAAGCCAAAGTTGTTGGCATATTGAGACTATAAAGAAAGGAAGATTATCTTCATATTACTATAATCATACCGAGTAAATATAAAAGGTTACCTGGCTTTATTTGTACTACACAAGTATAAGCATGATGATGCAATCACATACCACAAGTAAACTAGAGGTTTACTGAAACAAATATTAGTTGGCATGACCGGCTGGCCATCCCGGTTCAATTATGATGCAAAAATTAATTGAGAATTCACATTGCCATGTATTGAAGAAATACAAGATTTTTCAAGAATTCTCTTGTGCTGCTTATTCTCGATATACCAGTTAAGGTTGGGATTAAATTTATATATATATATATATATGGGCCCAATCACTTGCCATGTGAACCGTTTACTATTATATGATTTTAATAGATGCATCTATTGTATGGTCACATATGCGTTTGTTATCAACTTGCAGTTTGACTTTTGCAAGGTTACAACAACACTTGTATGCAACTAGCTTACAAATTATGATAAATTCTCCCTATCACAATTGGTTCAGGGTCAGGAACCAAATAATTTCCAAATATAAATATGAATATGTTATATGATTTAATTGTTCGATTACAATGCACAAAGATAGGTCCCTCAAGAAGGTTAGGGATATATGTTGGTGATCCAACATTAGGAGAAGAAAATGAGCAGCTGAAAAAGTAATACATGGAATGAATTATTGTGAGTACACTTAGATCCTCGTACAAGAAAATATGAACTTGTAGTTCAAGTAATAATTCATTTGAAAAATATTGACAGACACATTTGCTGATTCAAAGCTAAATACCATGTTTCAGTTGCTAATGCTCTAAATAGAATAAAGTCCATGATAGACAGAGTCTATGGCATGCATGAAGCGTAATAGACCAATTGGTTCCAAAGATAAAACTCCTTGAAGAAGGAGAGCAGCAAATAATCAAGATGATCATAATAAGGAGGCAAATGCTCTAGAAGAGAACCACGACATAACACTTTGTAAGACCTCATGGAGAGGCTCAGGTACCTGAAAATAATGAGATAAACAGATCTCAATAAGTTATGTCTTTATTGGGTAACGATGGAACCGATATAAAATGATCGTCGATGATATTTGATCACGCCCAACTAACAACAACAATTAAAAAAACCCAGTACAATTCCACAGATGGAGTTTGGGGAGGGTAATGTGTACGCAAACCTTACCCCTACCTGGAGAGGTAGAGAGTCTGTTTCCAATAGATCATTGGCTCAAGAAAAGGTGGCAAGAAAGAAAAGGGATGAAGAAGGAGAACGAGGGGGAAGAGGGAGACAAAAGACAATAAGGAAAAAGGGAAGAAAAGGTAGCATCAAATAGTAACAGGCGAGGAGCAACAATTTTCAGTAGCAGTTGTCAAAAAAACAACAATGGACGTGGAAGCAAAGTACAACATACACTAATAATCTAAAATAAAGTATTTCTCAACCAACCACAAGAACACTATTAGTACTACTAGTCAACCTAGGAGAAAATCACAACTACGTATCAATCCACCACCTTAGTCCTCGACCTTCATACCTTCCTATCGCTAGTCATGTCCTCGGTTAGGTGAAGCACCAACATGTCCAGCCTAATCACCTCTCCCTAATATTTCTTTGGCCTACCGCTGCCTTTCCTCAAGCCCACCATGTTTAACCTCTCATACATCCTGACCGGGGCATCTATGTCTCTCATCCTCACATGCCCAAACCATTGCAGCCTCGATTCCCGCAACTTATCTTCCACGGATGCTACTCCCACCTTGTCCCTAATAACTTCATTCTTAATCTTATCTTTCCTGGTATGTCCACACATCTATCTCAACATCCTCATTTCAGCTACACCTATCTTCTAGATAAGTGACTTCTTGACGGACTAACACTCAGCCTCATAAAACATAGCCAGTCTAACCACCACCCTGTAGAATTTGCCCTTAAGTCTAGGCGACACATTCTTGTCGCATAAAACCCCCTAATATCTCATTCAACCCGCTCCAATGCGATGAATAACATCCTCGTCAATCTCATGGTCGCCTTGGATTATAGACCCAAGATACTTGAGACTATGTCTTTTGGGAATGACTTGAGTATCAATCTTTACTTCCACTTCTTCTTCATGCCTCTCGTCACTGAACTTGCACTCCAAGTATTCAGTTTTCGACCTACTCAACTTGAAGCCTTTGGACTCCAGTGTCTGTCGCCACACTTTTAACCTAGCGTTAACACCTCATTGCGTATCGTCAATCAGTACTATGTCATCAGCAAATAACATATACCATGGCACCCTCCCTTGTATGTGTCGCATCAGCACATCCAACACTAGGGCAAGCAAAAACGGGCTAAGGGCTGATCCTTGATGCAACCCCATCTCCACAGGAAAATATTTCGAGTCTCCTCCCGCAGTCCTCACTCGAGTACTAGCACCTTCGTACATGTCCTTAATCACCCTAATGTATGCTATCGGGACACCACTAACCTCCAAACATCTCCATAGCACCTCCCTCGTGACTTTGTCATAAGCTTTCTCAAGGTCAATGAAAACCATGTGTAAGTCCTTTTTGCTCTCCCTATACTGCTCCACCAATCGTCTCACAAGGTGAATAGCTTCTATAGGTGACCGTCCCGGCATAAATCTGAACTGGTTCTCTAAGATAGATCACGCCCCACTCTAGTCCTAAAAGGATAAGTGGTCGCTGCAAATATAATCTTGTCTAAAAGTCCGAAGGCGAATCCCACAGAGAACTAAGCTTAGCTGTAATTGTTCAGTATTGCTAAGAAATACAAGTTCAAATAATTTTCTAGTTATAAAAATTGTAATTTTTATTTTAAACTAATTAATTACAAATACTAAAAGCAGTAAAATTATCAACTAACAAGACTAAGTTGGAGACAAGATTAAAGAGGCATAGAGTTATGATTTTTCTAATTTTCGGAATCCTCCCTGCTACATATCCTATAAATTCGCCTAAATATTTTCTAATGATCGTAAGCAGCTACCATAATTTACAAGATGTATTATTCTAAACTACGCTAACTGAAACTAATTCACCGCTCACTAAGATCGCACCAAGGTTTTGTTATTCCTAATCTCACCTTTAAACCCTCCGTATTGATTCCTCACATACGTTAGGAGTGATGTTGTTCAGTAAATACCTAAATACGTACCTTTTTCCAAGCAATACATAATAAATAGGCACAGTCAATTGAGAGCTCTTGAATCAACTGAAATAAGCACATAGTTAAACAAGTAGAGAAATTCAAAGGTTCAATTATATAAAAACATAATAAAAATTTATCTTACAAAAGGTTCTATCAAAACCCTAGATAAGAAATTAGCTATTCATGCTAGTATGTAAAAATACAACACTAGAATTCATAACAATGGAAAGATAGGAAGAAAGAGGAAAAAATGTGAAGTTGATCCTTTTCCTTGTTCCAAGCGTTTTCTTGCCTCCCCAAAGTCGTATCTCTTTCCAAAGTAGCGTCTCCCATCAATAGCACGTTTTAGGATGTATTTATAACGGCTAGGGTTTGTATGGAGAGAATTTTCCTTCTTCTATTGCGGATTGGAGAAGTTGGTTTCTTCTGCTCCGGTCCCGGTCTGGCAAAGTGAACCTTGCTTCGCTGTCCGGAACTTTTCTGGTTCCTTCTGCTCTGATCCCAGTCTGGTAAAGTGAATCTCGCTTCGTTGTCTGGGACTTTTCTCTTTAGCTCTCTTTTCACCAATTTTTCTCCTATTTGATCCTTTTCCACATAAGTTTGTTCCTACACATAAGAAACACGAAATGGGCATATTTTCACTTTAAAAGCGGTGTGAACTCCCGCAACTCACACAAGAAATAACAACAAACACACTCAAAACATGCGCTTTTTATCCTTTATCATCACACTACACTTAAACTCTTGCTCGCCCATGAGTAACTTAAAATTAAGCTCATATTCAAGAAATACTTTTCAAAACATACTCAAGCATCACACCAATGACAATGGTTTATATCAAGGCTTAGAACCCAGCATATGCACTCTTCATACATTTCCTCAAGTTTTAAACTCATGCCAAGATTATTTAAAATATTCATGTGACTATTTCTAACATCCTCGCCTCAAAACTAGACTCTAATGCATTGTACACTATGACTCGATCCTTGTGCCAACTCAAAAATCAAGGTCTCTACCAATCCTTTGCAAATCATGTGCCCTCACTAACAAATCACAGAGAAAGTAGTCCACACACTCAATATAAGTTCAAGTATATTTTAAGGACTCTTAAATCAGAAGAATTTTCTCACTCTCACAAAGAAACTCTTATGCCACCCAAGTTGGTGTCATAGGTTTGCCCGTAGTGCAAGACTTCAGCTATTCTAAGCTCGCAAAGTATGTGATTAAGCAGGACTTTATATGTTGCAATGTAGGCTAAAGGACGGGTAAGATGTATTTGTAAAAGTAGTGATTAACCCTCATAAGTACTTTAATACACTACACGTCACTTTTAAACACCTTCTTGTCATGACCAATTCGATGTCTTTCCATGAAACCATGCACATTTAAGCCCTTCTTCATCAATATATAGATATTTACTAGCCCAGACATAGATATGAGAGGTGTTATTCAATTTTTTTCTTCAGCTATTCTTTTTTTCACTCTCCTTAATTTGGTATTTTCGGCTAGTACCTTTTTTGCTTGTACACAACTGCACCGTTTCGGCCTTTCTATGGTTCCACTTAAAAGCTACTCTATCTCTTTCTTTAATCTTCTAACTACTTAAGTGCTTTCAGAGGTAAAGGTTCAACAAGATTGATTGAGAGCAAAGGGGATTCAACTTGTAATATGGTAACCAAAGAAAAATTCTACAGGCTCAAAAGGGTGGCTACGGATAATATTAGCACTAGTAAGCAAATAGGCTAAATGGTCAATCAAAGAAAGACTATATCACTTCCCAAACTTACAAGACTTAATCATTTCGCTTTGACTCATACACGGGGCAAGTGCTAGACTAGCAAGAATGGCACAGAGTATGCCAAAATCTCACCTCACACAATGCACATGACTCACTCAGGACGGTTCAGACCCGATTCTCGAGTTAAAGCAACTAGCATAGTCATCATAAAATTGAAGCACACGGGAGTTGATCAAAAGAATCAAAAGATGAGCCTCAGTGTCAAAATAAAGTCACATATATTTTTAAGACATGCAATTACGAAGATCATGAAGAAAGTACTTAGTTCAAATGCTCTAGACCTAAGCCCCAATATAAAACATGTCAAAAGCACAAATTACTCAAGCTTCTTCCCATTCCATTATCAATTCAAAAAGAAAAAAACAACGAAAATGTTTTTATATTTTTCATTAGACTTTAAACCCTCAAGAAAACTATCAAGGAAGTCTATCATCGGAAAATATCCAAAACTTTATAAAAATTCAATCTAAAAGAAAATTACTACCCGGTTCAACGAATCATCCCGTGGAAATGAACCGTGACCATAAGAAAAATCAAGGGGGGATTATTTCTACCTAATTTTTTCTTAACACACATAAAATAACACAACTAAAACAATATAGGAACACCCAAACAGTCTCTTCACCCCATACTTAAAATTGTGCATTGTCCATAATGCGCACACATAAATAGAAGAGGGTAAAAAAAAACTCCCTTATAGCCCAAAGGCCGAAGCATTAACAGCTCATGGGGTACTCAGACTTCTCCCAAATTTGGTTCTTTATGCGGGCACCCCACGCTTAGTTCTAACCATCTCACTTGCTTTTGCTTTCTTCCAACATCATTGCTTTTCATGCTCCTAGAGAAAAAAAAACAACACTACAAGATTAATACGATAATAAAAAAATAAAAGAAAGCAGTAAAGCTATGTTGCCTCCCAACAAGCGCTTGATTTAACGGCGCGGCACGATGCGAATTACTTTTTGCCTCCACCTTGAGCTTATGAATTGAACCCCAAATTTTGCTTCAAGCCTATGATTATGCTCCTGGGGTGGTGGAACAAATCTAGCTGGCCCAAGAAAACAATGTAGTATTCTGTACTTCTTGACTTTTAGATGAGGTGTGTAATCCTAACTTTTTGGAAAGAAGAATTCTAGATTGTAGGCATCTTGTTCCTCATTCCTTGACTCCTCAATTGGCTCGAATGACTCTATTTCTATATCATCATCCAAACACAATGTGAAATTTTTTTTGGAGTGTGGACCAATGCGCTCAACTACATGAACTTTGGGACCGTCAACATCCTCAATACCAATGATACTAGAGTCAACTAAATATGTATCCTCAGTGTCCTTGGTTGACTCTATTATCTTTTTTACAACGTTAGCAACCTCAAATTCTAGTTTGATATATTTTTGGTGTTCTACTCTAACCTCCTCTATTAGCACCTCAATTTCTGCATCTAATGCATGCTCTTTTTGGCTGCTATTCACAATATTAGCTTGTTGAGCATTAAATGCTTCAACTAATTGACTCACTTGTGCCTCCAGGTTATGAATAGTTTCCCCTTTCCTTTGGATAGTATCCAATAGCCTTTGTATTTGTAGTTGTTTCTCATTACTTTGTTCCATGAAATACTTTAACATATCTTTGATCTCCTTCAGGTCAGCTTCCCTGGGTTCTTTGTTCCTGATAACCTCATAAGAAAAAGTAGAACCATCATAATAAGGGGTTGGCGGAGGATAAGAAATATAAGCACAACCATGAAAGTGACCATCTTGACCACCACAAACATCACATACATTCCACAAATAAGATTGAGTTGGTGCACAAAACTCGCTCTCGGGAATATTTGACAATTTTGCCACAAGTGATTTCCTCCATAATATGCACAAGGAAGATCAATATTAGAATTACCGACATCAAAACTCTCATAATTCCACGATGTCATATTTTTGAAATTAACAAATAAAACTAGAATAAAAAAATCAAATACTAGAAAACAAAATTAAAGTTTAAACTTGAAACCTAGAAATATGTACACCTAAAACTACACTGTTAGTTCCCCGGTAACAACGTTAAAATTTGATCACGCCCAACTCTAGTCCTAAAAAGGATATGTGATTGCTGCAAATATAATCCGGTCTAAAAGTCCGGAATCGAATCCCACAGAGAACTAAGGCCTAGCTACAACTATTTAGTGTTGCTAAGAAATACAATTTTAAACAATTTTCTAGTTATAAATATAGTAATTTTTGTTTTAAACTAATTAATTAACAAATACTAAAAGCAGTAAATTATCAACTAAAAAGACTAAGGGTTGGAGACAAGATTAAGGAGGCTTAGAGTTTTTTCTAATTTTCGGAATTCTTCCCGCTATATCTCCGATAAATTCGCCTAAGTATTCTCTACCGATAGTGAGTACTTCGGGTGCCGTAATTCTCTTTCAAGCAATTACCATAATTTACAAGATGTATTCTTCCGAACTACGCTAGCTGGAACTAATTCATCGCTCACTAAGATCGCACCAAGGTTTTGTTATTCCTAATCCCACCTTTAAATCCTATGTATTGATTTCTCACATACATTAGGAGTGGTGTTATTCAATAACTACCTAAATATGTACTCTTTTCCAAGCAATAGATAATAAATAGGCATAATCAATTAAGAGCTCTTCAATCAACTGAAATAAGCACATAGTTAAACAAGTAGAGAAATTCAAAGGTTCAATTATATAAAAACATGATAAAAATTTATCTTACAAAAGGTTCCATCAAAATCCTAGATAAGAAATTAGTTATTCATGCTAGTATGTAAAAATACAATACTAGAATTCATAACAATGGAAAGATAGGAAGAAAGATGAAAAAACGTGAAGTTAAATTCTTCTCCTTGTTCCAAGCGTGTTCTTACCTCCCCAAAGTCTTCTCTCTCTCTCTCTCCCCCCTAAGTAGTGTCTCCCATCAAAAGCACATTTTAGGATGTATTTATAGCAATTAGAGTTTGTATGGGGCGAATTTTCCTTCTTCTATTTCAGATTGAAGAAGCTGGTTTCTTCTGCTCCGGTCCTGGTCTGGCAAAGTGAACCTCGCTTCTCTGTCCGAAAATTTTCTGGTTTCTTCTGCTCCGGTCCCGGTCTGGCGAAGTGAACCTCGCTTCGCTGTCCGTGACTTTTCTCTTCAGCTCTTTTTTCACCATTTTTTCTCCTACTTGATCCTTTTCCGCATAAGTTTGTTCCTTCACATAAGAAACACGTAATGAGCATATTTTCACTTCAAAAGCGATGTGAAATCCCGCAACTCACATAAGAATAACACACAAACACACTCAAAACATGCACTTTTCATCCTTTATCAATATTGCTGATATAATGTAGCGCTCAATATTATTAATATTGACGAGGTTCTTGAGTTCAAATCTGTTATGGAATTTAGATAGATAAATGATTGGCCAAATAAAAAATACGCAATGAAAATTGACTTCACCTGAAAAATGTGAAGTTGGATGGATAGTCCCAAAACCTGAAAGTATAAAGCCAGTGAAGGTATAAATGTGTTCTTGTGCAAAAAGTTAAATATAAAACGAAAAAGGCCTAAAAATGCCACTCAACTTTCTGAAATGGTCTATCCATGCCATCCGTTAAAAAAATGTTATTTCCATGCCACTGCCGTTACAGAAATGGCCCATCTATGCCATTATTTGACTAACGGTTGGAATTCTTTTTTAGATATTTATAAGACTTGAATTTCCACGTGTCCTGTCGTCATTGGTCCGAATTAACCCATGCCCCATTTAATTTTAATCTTGGTTAGGTCCATCTAATTTTAACTTTACCCAAATAATTAACCTAACCCAACCCTTCCAAATCCCTCTCCAGTCGTCTTCCCCAAATAAAAAATCCCTAAATCCTCCATTAAATTCAATGGAGGTTTTAGCATTTTTGACTTTGACCAAATTTTGGAAAGCGGATAAGACTACGTACAAACATGTACCTTAATAATAACCAAATGTGCATGAAGGTTTACACCCAATGCTAACGTACTTGTACAAACCAACACCTAGAAATTTGCAGCCAAAATGACTCAAATATAAGCTTCAATTTCAGTATATTATTGCTCCTAGAGATCTAAAATTTTCAGATGATATAGTTGCCTGAATCTTGTTGTTTGCAAATAGTTCCTCGACCAATGATCTATCTTTATTATTCAGTCCAGCATGGTGCAATCCAATTCCAAATTGTAAGGTGTGCTTCAAGTTCTGGTATGTGACTTGAGAAAGAACCATCTTTAGTGCATCTTCTGGCATGTTTATGAACTGCCTCGGGTGCTCATCTGAAGCTGCAAACTTTGAATTCAGAAAGAAAACATAACAGATTAGGCAGAAATTAAATTTAGTGGAGGTTTTAGGGATTTTTTGATTTGGGGAAGATGACTGGAGAGGGATTTGGAAGGGTTGGGTTGGGTTAATTATTTGGGTAAGGTTAAAATTAGATGGACATAACCAAGGTTAAAATTAAATTGGGCATGGATTAATTCAGACCAATGACGACAGGACACATGGAAATTCAAGTCTTATAAATATCAAAAGAAAATAAATTCAGCCATTAGTCAAATAATGGCATAGATGGGCCATTTCTTTAACGGCAGTGACATGGAAATAGCATTTTTTTAACGGATGGCATAGATAGACCATTTCGGAAAGTTGAGTGGCATTTTTAGGCCTTTTCCGAATAAAAAATCAAGTCGATAGACATACAGATGACTTATGGCACAAATTTTTTTGTATATATTCTAGCATTGATTATATGGAGACATGTTCTCCATATAATTTGTATATTTTTGGTGGATACAGTCATTTCAAGTTTTGGTTTGACAACACATTTGATATGCGTATAATAAAAATTCTTAAAGGATTTAAATTGTTATGAAGTATATAAAGATTCCCAAGAAATTTATTAAATAACGCTTCAGCGGATCCTTATGTGGATTAAAGTAATTATGGCGTACATGATTTATTTTTGTGTCTAGTGCAATTGGTGCACTAATGTATCTTGCTAGAACTATGAGTATAGCAATATGCAAGTGAGATATAGTTTTACTTCTATATGAAGATATTGGAATACGATTAGTATTATATTGCAAAAGAAATCTTTGATATAGATTTGTTTATTCTAACAAATATTCCCAAGTTTTTGTTGATTATGCAAATGTAGGGCTGAAGTTCATTCTTTAAGCAATCTATATGCATGTGAGGGTATTATCATATTATGATATTCTACAAAGGCCGTCAATTATTGATTCAAGTCATGTCAAGATATTAACAACTTATAAAGCAAGTGACTCAACACACAACAAATGTATGAGTTTTCTTTGAAAACGAAGATTTTAATAATATTGAAGACAATGCTTCTTGTTTATATCAATTGGAAGAAGGATATATTGAAAGCGACAAAATAAAGCACATTTCACTAAAGTTCTTTTCAGACATGATCTTCGACAGATTGGTGATATAGATGTTCAACAAAGTTATTTGATTGATAATTTGATGGATTTGTTCAAAGAATCATTACCAATCTCAATATTTGAGAAGTTGGTATACATGGGTGGAATGCATCATCTCCGAAAAGTAAAGTGATGTTTTCATCAGGGGGAGTAAGATACGCGCTGTATTATTTTTTTAGCTAAGGTTTTATCCCACTGAGTTTTTCTGGCAAAGTTTTTAACGAGGCAGCAAACCATGCGTATTACAAGATATATATACTCTTTTTCCTTCACTAAGATTTTTTCCCACATGGTTTTTTCTTAGTAAGGTTTTAAAAGGCACATTATCTATAGACATCCGGGGGGGATATTATATTATGTAGTTGATGTTTGTAACTCCTAAAGAAGTTATTCCCACTGCTCTTCTTCATTAACCTCCCACTATTTCTTATCATTATGGTTGTAACTCCCACGTTTTCATAACCTACTCCATGATCTCCATGATCTCAATAGTTAATATCATGTTCATGATATCCTTTTGTATTATCTAAATATCATCCTATAAATAGAGAGTTTGGACATTACATTGTACACACTTAAATACATGAGAAAAATAAGAATTTCTCCTCTCTTTCTCTCTATATCTCTTATTTTTTCTTGTTTTATATTGTTACTTTGAGCTTAGTTTTTTTAACATTTTATAATTTTACCCATAATAATTATAGCATTTTCAAAGTCTTGAGAAATGATTTAGGGAATGAGTAATTAATGATACGGGTAAAATAGAAAAAAAAAGATTGTCTTTCTCTTGAATTAATATAGTGAATAAATAAAAATGAAAATATATTTTTTTGTATAGTAGACAATTAAAAGTGACGGAGGAATACCATTTAAGAACTCATTCCACAAGTTAAGGAAGTACTTGCCGGAGAAAGTTGTAACTAAGGGAACTCAAATCAATTCACTTCTTCAAATAATCCATTGTCCCTCCGAATAATTCATAAATCATCTGATTGGCTTCTTCAAGTTTAAAGTATTAGTGCATAGTATGATCTATACGTTTTTAATATAAATTGCCCCTTTTGATTTCGAATATAAAAAGACATCCAAAATACAGCTCTGGATTTGCTTTAATGCCATATACTCTCACCGAGTAGCAAAGGTCAAACCAAAGTCACCCAAACTTTACCGAATCGGCTAACAGTAAATTAACAAGTGGGAGTAATCATTTCACCATTTTGTGTCCCCCCACATTTTTCCTCTTGTTTGAAACGACCAACGACTAAGGAGGCTCCTTGGTTTCATCGGAACAATTACAATAAACTAACATACGCTTCTCTCCAACTCCAACCAGTGATCCATCTTCCCTTCACACCTGGCCACTTTACTCCGTTCAATGGCTTCTCTCGCCTTTAATTCCGTCGCAACCACCTCCAAATTTCACTCCTCCTCCGCCGCCGCCGTCGGAAGCTCCTCCATCCGCCGCCAGCTTACGCATCTCCGCCTTCCGTCTTCCCCTCTTCAGCCATCACCTCCCTTGCAATGCCGCTGGTCTTCTTCCGCCTCTTCAGGTATTTCACTTCCTACCTAGTACAGACGGATCTAATCCTTCTCAGCTCACTGCATAACATTTTGCGAGAGAGAGAGAGAGACAGAGAAAGTGTGTGTGCGCGTATTNTATATATATACATACACTTTTTGGATTCCCCTCCGCTTCCAAAATGCTTCAATTTCCTTACACGACAGGACCTCATTTTATGTGCCCTTTTCTTTTTTTTTGCCGGTTTTTGTATATTTTCTGTTTATGATGTGGTGTATAGATGGATAATGGGACTGTGATGTGATCAGGCGTGAGAGCTCAGGTGGCAACAACTGAACAAGCTGGAGTTGAAGCTGCTGCGAAAATTGAAACTCCCATTGTTATTGTCACGGGAGCTTCTAGAGGAATCGGGAAGGCTATTGCATTGTCTTTGGGAAAAGCTGGTTGTAAGGTCTGGATTTGTATAGATGCTGAAACTCCTTGGTTTTTGGATGCTTTGCCTTCGAATTTTAACTAATTTACATGGAACTGTTAACTTCCAGAAAAAAAAACCTTATTCTGCCTTTATAGCTTTTTCACTGTAATTTATCTGGATTTACTCTTTCTTTTGTACGTTATTGTATCCATCAATATGGATGGTCAGTTGGAAACCCCTGCAGTTTCACTGTAACATAGCATCTGCTTTAAGGTACTATTGTAGTCGCTCAAGTTGTGCAAGGAAAGTCAGCGGTGGATGTTGATTGTAAGGTTTGGGTTCATCCAAACCTAGTAGCTTCAGTAAATCAAATGAGTTGTGGTAAAATCCCGAACTCAAATCCATAAAATTCAAATTCTACATCTCCTGCAGAAATACTCTCTTTGTCGAGTAACAATGACCTTCTTTGCTCTGTGCATTGTCTTAGAGTAAAATGTTTAAATAAATCATTTTATTGAGTAGACTTCAAAAGAGTAGTTCGAGATATGCAAAAAGTAAATTAGTTTGTCGAAAGATGTCACATCAAGTGTGAGAAAATAATCTAAATTGCTGTTGGGTGTCAATCATTGCCATCAAGAAGGAGAATAAATTTTTTCCATCCCAAAGTAGAAAGAAAGCAGGTGTCTCTCTCGCCTTCAGATGGTTGGTCAGGGACTCGAGGTTACCTTTTACTCTCTTGTTTGAGTACTTTTTCTCCTGGTTATCTCTCTAGTATGTTTAGTGAGATATTTTAGCTTAATTTATGACGTAAAGTAGTCAGGCATTCAAAAAATGCGGACTGCTTAGATTTCATTTCTTTTGGAAACTGTCAATCATTCTTAGGCCTGACATATAGGTGGATAGACAGGCATTAATATTGATCAATTTATATATTTCTTGAATACTCCACCAACCTGCTTCAGTATAAAGGTCAATTTTGTTGGCAGGTCCTAGTGAACTATGCAAGATCTTCAAAGGAGGCAGAAGAAGTTTCCAAAGAGGTATATGTTTTTCTTTTCAGTAATAATTTAATGTAGTTTTGGTATAGATTACTTCCTTATTCCTGCCATTTCCGAGTGAAAGTTTCATTCTTTATTACTCCCTCCGGTCCATAATAAGTGACTTTTTAGACTTTGGCACACCCCTTAAGAAAATACTAACTCCTCGAGACAAAAAGGTATATTGACTAAATTACCCTTAATTAAAATTTGCACATTGTTACTTTGACGCATTGGGATATGTAAATGAGGGCAAATTTTGAAAAAATAAAATTAATTCCTTCTTGATTATGTAAAAGGACACTTATTTTGGACCAAAATAAAAATGCCAAAAGGTCACTTATTAATTATTATAGACCGGAGGGAGTACTAAAAGTATGAGCTGTATCTCGGACTTCAGTCTGATGCGTTTGGAAGGGTATCTGAGCCATGCAGAATACTTCATCTTCTATGCTATTTCTTATTTTGCTTTTACTTTTGCTAGGGTGCTTACATTGTCCTTTAAATTGTCAACTTTTAAGGGGGATCTCTCCAATTTAAAATAGTTCAAAGTTACATTGCACAAACATCCCTTTAGTTAGTCTAACGTTCGCGTGATCATTAAATCTTAATCATCTAATCAACTACCAATGATTTGTTTTAATAAGAATTTTTCACTAATTGATGAAAATGCAAATATATAGTTGATTAAGAATTTCTTTCCACGTAAAAGAATAAAAATGATTAGAAAAGCAAAGGCTCCTAAAGGGGAGGCCTAGTGGTTGAAGCATTGGAGTAACAACCTTAGGACACAATCCCAGTAGAAGCGATGAAGAGTAATTCTTCTCATTTTCCTTAGTGCGCAGAGTTACTTTGTATCTGTGCTAATGGAAATAGCAAATACCTGGTAAAGACAATCGTGGTGTGCACAAGTTGGTCAGAACACCACCTTTTTGGAAAAACAAATGATTTTCAAAACCAACGATCCAGGAGTGGGCCCATACTTCCAAAATTTATCACCACTGAAAAGTTAACTTAGCCCTCAGGACTTTGGTCAATTTGTTAGGATACAGTGCAAGATGTGCCGATTGGACGCATATCACGAGTTTGAACAAGTCAGTGATAGGAAGCTTTATATTTAAGTGGGAGTAGGGTAAAGGGGTGAGCCCATACTTCCCCTGTTCCTAAACTGGTTTGTCGCCATATATCTTTGCTTGTAATATTCACCAAGCAAGGCTGATTAAGTCATGGATATATATTGTAATTGACCAGTGCAGTTGTAATGCTTATACTTATGCTTGTATATTTCAAATAGTAATCTTCTTCTGTTCTTGGCTAATGCTTATCTACCAAGAAGTGTAAGTTCAGGTTCCTGTGTTTGTGTATGGTTTAGCTAACCTTCACTGAAGTTCCATTCCACCAAAAAATCCGGCAATCATATATTGACTTTGGTTTATCTCAGTCTTGTAAATGAATAAGACCTGCTCGTATTCTATTCAGTTAAAGATGAAGAATGTCTTCTCAAGGTCTTTACCTGTGCCAAAGAAAGTCCTCACATATGCTAGAAGGCTTGAAAAAAAATGAGAATGTCTGGCACTCGTTTGACAAATACTTCCATCCGTTGTTTGATTGCTGTTTAGATTAAAGCTTCTCATTGGCTACTTCTTCAACCGACAATTATTTAATTTAGGTGTGGGAACAAGTTATATGGTTCTTGCTTTCGGCAATTTGTTGTCTTCCTAAAAAGAGAGGATGTTTTCTGAGTGACTTGTATTTTGCAGATTGAAGCATGTGGTGGCCAAGCCTTGACTTTTGGAGGCGATGTTTCAAAAGAAGAAGATGTAGAATCCATGATGAAAACTGTAAGCACACGCTTTTGTTAATAATGTGAATTAATATTGGATTTTACCGCAGTTGTTGCCAGCTAAAATGCACCTCATCATATCATACCTGTAGGCCGTTGATCGATGGGGAACAGTTGATATCTTGATCAATAATGCAGGTTAGCAACATTTTTTGTGTGTGTGTGTGGAGGCAAGTCAAAACGACCATTTCATTAATTTTGCTCCAACATAGTACCCATAAACTTTACATTTGTGTTGATGCATCCNATTAAGGATCTGAACAAATCTGTGCAACTTTTTTTGGATAAGTAAAAAGGTTGGAAATCTGTACAACTTTCTATTTAAAAAGGAACGTGTCTTTACCCCAAATATACAAGTGAAACAATATTTTTTAATGCAGGTTAGCAACAGTTTTCCTGTTTTATGTTAAGTCTTATTAGAATGTCCAATCAGTAGTTGTCTTATTTTTCCTTTTCAGGCATCACACGCGATACCTTGTTGATGAGAATGAAGAAGTCTCAGTGGCAGGAGGTTATTGAGTTGAATCTTACAGGAGTTTTTCTCTGCACACAGGTCTATACATTAGCTGTGTTTCAGTTGGTATTTTGGTGTTGTCCCCACTTCCTCCTCTCAAAACCTATATATATTTTAGGATTATGTTTCTGTAAAAGAAATGGACCTTGGGCCTAACTCAACCTCAAAAGCTAGCTCATAAGGTGAGGATTGCTCAAGTCATATAAAGCAACCACCCATCCCTTTATGGACCGATGTGGGACTCTTCAACACCCCCCTCGCGCCCAGAGCTAGATATCTGGAGCGTGGACAATTAAATATGGGGGCCCAACATCGGAAAACAAGAATTGGGATGGGTCCTGCTTTGGTACCATGTTAAAGAAATAGACCTGGGCCTAACTCAACCCCAAAAGCTAGCTCATGAGGTGAGAATTGCCCAAGCCATATAAAGCGACCACCCATCCCTTTATGGACCGATGTGGGACTCTTCAGCAGTTTCTTATGAGGGATCTTTCCTCTTGTTGCAGGCTGCAGCTAAAATCATGATGAAAAAGAAAAAGGTAAATTTGTGGACCCAATTCTTGCATTTCTCAAATAATATTATTTGTCCGGAAAGGTTCAAGTTTTTGAAATCTGCTTCAGCATGCATTTGTAATTATTTACCTGACTGATCCTTCTCATGTATTATGAAGAACTTAGCTCTATGGACTCTACAGCAGTTATGAGCACTGACTACACCGCATGGTGGTCAATGAGGTCATCCGACTGATCATCTTCAAAACCTCATATGTGATGGAAATAGCACTAGAACAATTATAAACCATGTGGGGTAGGGTTCATCCTAGCCTTTGGGTAGAATAACCAAAATTATATCTGTCGTTCCTGGTTTGTTGGACTCACATGCTAGTCAAAGTAGAAAGAAAAATAATCCAAAAGGACCAAAACACAGTGACAGGCTGGTAATTTGCTATGCTAGCACAGCATTTTTTTCATGGGCGGTGGGCAGAAACTACCTTAGCTGGATTAAAGGGAAAGTAACAGAGCAGATAATGATACATTACTTGAATGGAGATAGTTAATTTCCACCTAGCCTTAAAAGATAACCTAATTCGACCGCAAAATTGTCACATCAATTAGCTTCCTACTCCCTCCGTTCCAATTTATGTAAACTTATTTCCTTTTTAGTCCGTTCCAAAAAGAATGAACCCTTTCTAAATTTGGAAACAATTTAGCTTAAACTTACAATTCTACCCTTAATGAGAAGCTTTTACAACCACACAAATACTCTGGGCCCCTTTTTGACTTGTTTAGGACCACAAATTCCAAAAGTCTTCATTTTTGTTTAAACTCCGTGCTCGGTCAAACAGGTTCACATAAATTGGAACGGAGGGAGTATTTTTTTAGAAGCATCAAGTTGAGTTGATTTCAGCTGCAGAATCTAGAGTTTTGCCGTGTTGGAAATTGGTTTGATGGAATGATTTTGATGACTCAAAATCTGTTTCTACCTATTCCCTTTTCATGGATTTCAGTTGCTGATGTCATTTTCTTAGATTTTGTCACCTGCTATATTGCTGACAGCTACCTTTTCAATCAACTTGAACCAATAGTCATTTGTACCAAACAACCAACAAACTGAATGATCCTTGAGTGCGCTAAGATAGGTCAGATTGTGCCAGATGCCAATTAATGACACTGTTGCCACCATTATGCATTGTCCCGTTTATATAGCGATATGTTGTCCTTGAAGAAAAACTGATCACTAAGATCTAAGTAATGCAATACTTTCCGTTTATACTCCAGGAATTTATGTACAAGCATGGTCTGCATTTGTAGGGACGAATCATCAACATATCTTCTGTTGTTGGTTTAGTTGGCAATGCCGGGCAAGCCAACTACAGTGCTGCTAAAGCAGGAGTGATTGGCTTAACCAAGAGTGTTGCAAAAGAATATGCCAGCAGGAATATTACTGTAAGTTCTCTTAAGCATTTCCTTATATCACTTAGCTAGGGCTTATATTAATGATAGTTACTCTAGTATTTCGTAAAGCATATTATAAAGGAAACTATCTCTGTCAAGGACAAACTAATTTCTTCTTCTTCTTGTTTTCTTTTCTTTTTTCCTTTGTCTTTTTAAAATAATGACTTCTTATGGCTTATAATTAGATTTTGCAAGCTGATTTTTTCCTTTTGATAGGTTAATGCGGTTGCCCCTGGATTTATTGCTTCTGATATGACTGCCAAGCTAAGTGAAGACATTGAAAAGAAAATTTTGCAAAGCGTTCCCTTAGGTGAGAGAATATCTTTTAAAAGTATTCTTGGCATTTATATCTCAACATAATTACGACTTCCTGCGCATCTAAACAAGGAAAATTCTACAACTTGACTTCTAAGATATAAGGACTCCAAGTAGAGTAGAACAACGTCAGATGCATTAAGCAGATTTCTTTATTTGTTTCCTCCAGAATATGAAGTAATAAAACTAAATGTGTACTGAAATCCATCAATTGAGAGTTTGGAACTTGCAAGAAGAGAAGATTTCCCTTCTTCCACTTGCATCCACATTTTCTTAATTTTGTACGTTCTATATATTAAAGATTCATATATTAAGCAAGTGTAACTATTCTATCAATTTTAACTTTTAGGAAATAATGGCTCTCATATATCTTAAAAGTGACAGGACAGTAGATCTCTTTTAAACCATGGCTACATTGACTAATGTTGGTGTTATATAATATAGGACGCTATGGTCAGCCGGAAGAAGTTGCTGGACTAGTGGAATTCCTGGCACTGAATCCTGCTGCTAGCTATATTACGGGACAGGTATTGCCGTATTATGTCGTTTCATCTATCCTTTTTCTAAAGCTTCTCTCTTGCTACTTAGTCTTAGAACAGTTGTTTATTATTTGTATTTATTTTCTTTACAGGTTTTGACCATTGATGGTGGGATGGTTATGTAGAAGTTTAGAAACTCCGTATTTTGTTTGCTCACAGAGAAGAATTGAAAGGGTGATTATTTAGGTTCCACCGGGGCTGTAGCCTCATTCTATGCCCGAGGAAAAGGAGCTTATTAAGTTAGTGGTAGGAGATGGCCGGACACTGTTTTCTGCATTTTCTCCTCTTCTTTTTCCATTTTGCCGGCTGAGGAAGCATTTTTTGGAAATTTTGAAACAGGATTTTATTTTTTGTTTTGGTTCCTATACCAAAGTTTTAAAACCTAAAATGTTGTTATTGCAATTGAATGTTGATGCATGTTTTGGCAATATTGGTGTACTTCCTTTGGTCAAAGCATCTTCATGCGCTTTCATGGAAGACTGCTGCTGTTTGCCCAGAGAGGTTGAGATTGATAAATCAATGGCATTATTATAAACGGAAGTTTCCGACCCCTAATATCTCTATTTCAACCCATTTAAAAGATAACTTCTTATAGTCGTAGGCTTCTTCTTTCACTAAAGCAAGGTGGAAAGTTGAACCTGAGAAAAAATGGCTTCTAATGCGATTAGTAATAGACAGGCAGCCAACCACATAGCAACTGTGAGAAAAACCTGAGTACACCCATTATATTTTATATTCAAATATTTACCACTTTCAATTATCACTTTATCTTGCATTTATGTATATTTTAAACTAAATGATTAGCGAAATCTTTACTCACTTCTACAGTAATTTGTTGCGACATTTCTGTTGTTTCTTCCTTTCTTTTTCTAAAATTGACCCCGGGGATTCGAATCTTATTGCGACACTAATCAGTCTAGTTGTTTTCTCATTTCTTTTTCTAGAATTAGGCCCACCCCAGGGGTTGGGAATATTTTTTTTGGTTTAGTTTATTCTTTTAAAATTTCTAAGTTTGAGACATTGAAATTCCCATTCTTCTTTTGTCAATATAGATTTTTTTATAACTAAAATAAGTATCAATATCTATATCTATATTATATTAAAGGGAGAGTAGTATGCACTGTGGTTAAGCCAAGTGGCAAGCTAAAATGAAGCCACTTGGCAATTTTAAGACAACATTAATAATTAAAAATTATAGATGGAAACATAATTAATGGAAGTAGTTGAATTAATCTTATACATAATCTAAATAGATCTTAGACAAATTTTATTTATATATCTATATTTATATTTATATGTATATTGATATCTACATCTATATCTATATTTTGTATCTATATATTGATCCACACATAGATTTTCTTTATTAGCTGGAAATATGGAGGTGAAAAATTAATTGAAAAGCTATAATAGAAACTAAATAAAAAATATAAAAAGACGTAATTGAGACAATTTATGACTATTTATACTTTGGAGTGTGTTAAAATATAAAATAAAGTGGCGTCTTAAGAATAAGACACATAGCAAAGTAAGACAAAATAAATAATAATTTAGGAAAGACTTAGGATAAAGTTAAAAGGATAAGAAGAAAATATAATGTATTAGTTTTGTATCACATTCGAAGATTTGAAAAATCTTCATTTTTAATTGGACTAATAAATGCTTAAAGTTATGGGATATTGCAAATCCTATTAAAACTACTTTGTCGCTTTAATTTTAGGCATTTAAAAGGGTTATTTGCAAGAAATATATATATTTGAAAGGGTAACATCAAAGATTTTTTTTTGAAGACTACATTCTTTTTTCTAATTTGACATTGAGTTTTTGTAATATTGTTAACTTCTGGGAAAATTAAAAAATTTATAAACCAAATTCCAAGAGAATATATGTGTGTATAAATTATTACAAGAAATTAAAAGAAAAGAGAATATATATATATATATAATTTCAATGTTGAAATATATGGAAGGATAAGACTTATTTGATTTTAGAAAAGAGAAAGTGTGTGTGTGAGTGTTTATATATATTATATTAAGCCAAGTGACAAACTATTATAGAGTCACTTGGCAATTTAGGATAGTATTAATACTAATACTTAATTTAAATTAAAACATATTTTTTCGAATCTCAATGAAAAGAAAGTAAATATTTTTGTAAAGATATTGTCTGACGTATCTTAATTAATAAAATTTTTTAAAAAAATTACATTGGAATATTAAAAAAACGCCTCTATCTTAATTAATTATAAAGATAAAAATATAGGTATTATTAAAAATATGATAAATTTAAACATTAATATGGACAACATAATTTAAAAAATTAAAAAAAAAGAGAAAAATATATATAAATAAATAATTTTAACGTAGAAATATTTGGAAGAATAAGACTTATTTGAATTTTGAGAAGAGAAAGTATTTTAAACAATAATGAATAAAATTTGCATTGTGGTTAAGCCACGTAACAAACTACTATAAAATCACTTGGCAATTTAGATAATATTAATAATAATACTTAATTTAAATTTAAATTTTTTTGAATCTGAATGAAAAGAAAGTGAATATTTTTGTAAAAATATTGTCTGCCCTATCTTAATTAATAAAATCTAAAAAATAAATAAATTGAAAGATAAAAATAACGCCTTTATCTTAATTAATTATAAAGATAAGAATATAGGTATTATAAAAAATATGATTAATTTAAAAATTAATATGAACAATAGATTAAAAGAATAAAAGTAAATAAAACATTTTACTACAAGAAAAAAAACATATTTTTATTTATAATGTATTATAATGGAAGTAATGGACAAGACTATGATAATTTTAAGTTATGAGTAATGCATTATGGACAAGAAATTATGAGTAATTTTAAGAGATTTGAGAAATTTCTATTTTTTATTAACATTTGTTTAATGATTATATATAAATTTTATCTGAAAGATTAATATTTTAAAGTTATTTGCACATAAATCAAATAACTCAAATCACAGGTAGGGGTGGGCATAAAATCCGAAAAACCGAATTCCGAACCGAACCAAATTAATTTGGTATTTCGGTTTCGTTTTTTTCGGTTTTTCGGTCTAATTCGGTTATGAATTTTCGGTATTTCGGTATTTCGATTCGGTTTTCGGTTTTATACTTCTACAATTTTGGTAAACCGAAATACCGAAAATTAATACTACTAAGCCCAATTATTTATAGGCCCATGCGGCATGCGCCCAGCCCATGCATCCCCATTCCCCAGCGTTCCACTCGGCCACTCCCACTAACTATGGCCCAGCTCCCTCAACTCCCAACCCAAGCCCAATCAATTAGACAATTACCCAAGTCAGACTCAATCAAATTAGGCATTCTCAATTCCTCAAACTCAAAGTAGGGCATAACCGCATAAGGCATTACTCATTAGCCATTAGGGCTTGGTTAATGCTTACTGCTTCAGATTTCACTCTTCGACAGTTCGACTAGAGATATCATCGAGAAGAAGAAGACGAGAATCGAGTCATCGACTGGACGACTGCGAGTCTGCGACTCTGCGAGTCTAGGATATCACTTATCAGTCTGCGAGTCTAGACGAGAATCGACTGCTTAGGATATCAGTCTACATTTTGTAAGTCTCACTCTCATCTCATCTTCACCGGTCTACGACTGCTTAAGTTTTGACTTTTGAGTTTCCGCATGGGCCTTTAAATTATAATGGTCTGATTTTCGGCATCAAACGAAGTATACTGTTCCAGTGTAGGAAAATATCATAGGCGGTGATTTCCAGCTCGATTCGATTCCTCACTCCTCACAAATTCAGGGCAAAACGAAGTGTCGAAGACGCTGCTGTCCTGTTCCAGTGTTCCGAGCTCGATTCAATTTCAATTTCAAAGGTATGTTTCGCTTTATTTTGGTTGTACTGCTGATTGAATGAACTGTTGTTCCGAGCTTTTTCCTTTAGTAGGAAAATATCATCTGTATCACGTTCATGCTGTTTAATTCATTTGTAGATTTTGGTTTCAAAATAACTGCTACTGGGAATTTATGTTTATATTTGTTTAATTTTGTAGGGTAGCAACTAGCAAGGTAGTTAATTTGTTGATTGTTCATTTATATTTATATTTGTTTAATTTTGTATAGATGGAAGATACAAGTAAAGTAAGTGATGTTGGTTCTAGTGAAAGTTTACCTATTACGGTAGATAGTAACACCAACACCATTGATACTCAAGATTCCAAGAAAAGGAAAGCAATGCAACCTAGGTCTGACGTTTGGAACCATTTTGATAAATTTGAGGTTAATGGGGTTGGGAAAGCACGGTGTCGATATTGTAAACAAGCTTATGCTGCTAATTCATCTAAGAATGGAACAACAGGATTGAAGAATCATTTGCTTAGATGCAAAGAATACCCACTTAAAATTGCAGAAGATAATAGTCAAACAAAGATAAATTTTCAATTTTGCCAAAATGATGAAGGATCAATTTGGAAATTTGATCAAAAAGTGGTTAGGAGGGCCTTAATTGAGATGATAGTTACTGATGAACTACCATTTAGCTTTGTAGAAAATGAAGGCTTTATGAAGTTTATGAGAAAAACTCAACCACTATTTCGTATTCCTTCTCGTAGAACAATAACAAGGAATTGTTATGAAGTTTACGGTGAATTGAGGCAAAATCTAAAAAGTTCTTTTAGAGAAGCACAACCAAAAATTTGCCTAACAACAGACACTTGGACTTCATTACAAAGAATAAATTATATGTGTTTGACAGCCCACTTCATTGATAGGGATTGGAAGTTGCATAAAAGAATACTTAATTTTTGCCCTATCACTAGTCATAAGGGTGAAGAGATGGCTAAAGCTATTAGGGATTGTTTGCTTGAATGGAAATTAGACAAGGTTTTCACTATTACTGTGGACAATGCTTCTTCAAATGATGTCACTGTCAAAGAATTGTCTAAACAGTTAGATATGTGGAAAACTAATATGATGAGTGGTAAACATCTTCATGTGAGATGCATGGCTCATATACTAAATCTAATTGTGCAAGATGGTTTGAAAGAACTTGATGCTTCTGTGACACGTGTTAGAAATATTGTGAGGTATGTGAGATCTTCGCCTGCAAGGACCTTAAAGTTTAAACAGTGTTGTGCACATGTAAAGGTAGAATGTACCAAAACGTTGTGTTTGGATGTTCCTACCAGGTGGAATTCCACCTATTTGATGTTGGATACAGCACAACACTTTGAAAAAGCCTTTGACAAGTTGCATCTTTTTGATGATGGATTTTCTGCATATCAATGTTCTCATCTTTGTGAAGATGGTGGTAATGCAGGTCCTCTTGAATCTGATGATTGGGTGAATGTGAGGAATGTGATAGAGTTTCTTGCACGATTTCACGAGCTAACTAAAAAAGTTTCAGGTTCACGTTATGTCACTTGTAATTCTCATTTTGAGGATGTATCTGAACTTTAT